GGTAACTATACTTATAACCCCAATAGGGGACTTATAACCTTACTTACTAAGTCCCATGGTCCTCCAAGTGCTCTTTCAGTGCGCCTTGCGCTTCTTTGGAGGCGGCGACGGAGGCTGAAGCGCTGATTTGGGAGGCATGGCATTGTGGGATACTGGATATAGTCTCCACGTTCAGGTGCAGGAAAGGCCTCCACCTAAAATTTCCGGTTTAGGATTTGTTTTTTTGGTTAGCGCTTAGATGGCTGCTTGATTTTCGATGACTGCAACTAGCTTGAACAAATCACGGCAAGCAATTGGCCATACTTAAAGGATCATGGGACTTAGTAAGTAGGGTTATAACTAGGGTAACTATACTTACAACCCAATATTGGGGACTTATAACCTTACTTACTAAGTCCCATGGTCCTCCAAGTATGGCCCTGAACCCCAAGTCCCTTCTAAACCCTAAAACCCTCAACCTTACTTATGCCCTAGCAACGAAACAGCTACACCCGAAAACCTGACCTAACAGTCTTCGTCTTGTCATTCTTCAAGCTATTGCTAGTCGTACTAATGCTATTCTTTGTCTTATTCATACTAAATCAAAAGGGCCCGGAAGACCCCCCAGCCCGGAGTTCTTGAAGTTCCTTTTGCAGGCCGAGTTCCTGAAGCGCCGGAGGGATCATTTGCAGCTTCATCACCCCCAGGATCGCGACATGGGGGGTTTAGGGTTGAGGGCTTAAGGGTTTGGGGGTTTAGGGGTTTGGGGGTTTTGGGTTTAGGGGTTTAGGGGTTTAGGGCTATTGAGGGGAGGTTTCTGAAAACTGATGCGCGTGCCTGTTTTGGGGATCCGTTTCTCGCTACGAGGGTCACAATGAGGATTTGGGGTTCAGGGTTTGGGGTGCCTCCATCTCGGGATCCTGAGACAAGAAGAATCCCACCATGTGTTTTATGAGGCTCTCAACATAAGTGGCTTTTGCTTTTGGCGTCGGTATACACAGTGACAACAACAACAACAACAACACTGAAGTCCTACACAGCCGCGAGTGTGAGTTATCAACATATTGTGGCAACAGATTTAAACACTACGTAACCAAAGTAGCCATTAATTGTTTTGATACCCATGTGCACGGAGCGGTTGTCAGCAGGAGCTTCAAGAACAGCGGGTCCCACTAGGCAGGGCGGGTGGACGTGGGCGGGAGTGCCTCAGTTGAGTCATGAAGACTGGCTTACCCCAAATCCTAAACCCTAAACCCCAAATCCTAAACCCTAAACCCTGAACCCTAAATCCTAAACCCTGAACCCTGAACCCTGAATCCTAAACCCTAAACCCTAAACCCTAAGAAGTCACCAGCCTCTGCTTTGGCGGCAGCTGGGCAGCTGGCCCACATCGGCCAACATACCGCCTGCCTGTCTGTTGCTTGGTCGGTCGGTCGGTCGGTGTAACACTAAACATATTATAAGGGCAAAAAAATTTTCCCCTTATGATATGTTAAGTAGCTGGTTATTTTTGGTCTGTCTGTCTGTCGGTCTGCCTTTCTGTCTGTCTGTCTGTCGGTCTGTGTAATTCAAGTATGTAGCTCGTTGTTTTTGGAGTTTTGGGTCGGGCCAGGTAGTCCAAGCAGGAAAAGCCGTGGTCCTGCAAGCTTCGGCAAAGCTGGAGATGACGCTTACATCCCACCAGCGTATACCTCGAGCTTTCATGGGCTTCGCGTATCTAGTATCGGCATCATTACAGCTTGTTTTTGGGTTCAAGGCCTGACGGCACGGCGTTCCAGCAGTATTCTTGCATGCGCGGTGATCCTGAGTGCAGGCGTCGCCTTCTCTGGCGGTGGCGTGAGAGCGGCTGCCTTTCATTGTGGACTGCTATGGGCAATAAGTTCCTCGGTGGAATTTGGACTCTGAGATCAGGCCTCTTGTGGCGTTTTTCTCCGGCTGTTTAGGTTGTGTCTGCTGAGGTAGCCAGGGGCTGCTCAAGGCCGGACTATCTGCTGCCGAGGGCCTACCGTAGGGCCTACTTGGAGATTCATGGGTAGTTATAAGTGGGGTTATAAGTCCCCTAATAGGGCTATAACTATAGTTACCCCACTTATAACCCTACTTATACCTACCCATGAACCTCCAAGTAGAGATTCGAAAGAAGGGGCTGTGGCAGGATGTGCTCCATCTGGCTTCCGTCTCGGGTGGGGCCTATACTGCAGCTTCCCTGGCAACGCATCTGGTGAAGGCGGCGAAGAACAATCGACCCTAAACCCTAAAACCCTAAAACCCTAAACCCTAAACCCTAAACCCTAAACCCTAAAACCCAAAAACCCTAAACCGGCCAAACTGCGGGTTCCTTTCAACTCTTTGCTCTCTCTCTATCTCTCTCTCGCCTTGAAGGCCATGGAGAAGGGCCCACCACACTGCCAAAGCTTAGATGCCTTCTACCGCGAGGCTACGAGTAGTACTTCGCTGTCTTCGGGATTGAGAGTCCCAGCTTAGCCTCAGGTGGCTGCTGAGACGATTCTCAGGATGCAGAGCAACATCAACTACCTTGTCGGCTGCTGATTTGCCCCATGGGTAGCTGTCAAAATTATGGTCCCTTGTGGGGTACCCTAAATAATAGGTGCCGTATTAGAATAAGGACCCCAAAAAGGGACCATAATTTTGACAACCACCCCCCATGCAGCAATGAAGGCTCATGAGGATGGGGAGCCCTGCCAGGTCCGGATGGGGGAAGGTCATAAGAACTCTCCCGACCGCGCGCATTGCCCGAGATTGCTTGACATCCCCCTCTTCGTCGGGTGCTTGGAAGTTTCAGATTTCAGCTGCCTTCCTTTCTGCCCCTTCATGGCTTCACTGCAGATCTTCACAATTGTGGCCTCAGCCTGCTTGTCCGTGCCGCTCTCAGTCAAGAAACCTTCCCTTCTTTAGCTCTCGGGCCTCTGCTTGACCCGAGCCCACGTTGATCCTCGTGAACACCGTTTGGCCTTTGGTGTCTGGCACTCGGGACCGATAAGGGGCGAGTTTTGAAAAAGGGGAGACGGAGAGATTCCCAAGCCCCAAACCCTGAACAAACTCGGCCCAAGCCCGAAACCCTAAACCCTGAAAGCCCTAAACCCGAAACCCCCCCAAACAAAGCATAAACGTCCCCAAACCCCCGGGAAGTCTCTTGGAATCCCGAGGCTCTGCATCGAACATGAGCTTGCCGGCACCTTGAGAGGAGCATGGTTAGGGCCTCAGCTTTCTGAGAGGATCCCTCTTTTCAGGGCTTTGGGGTTTTAGGGTGTTCGGTCTTGTTGGATTTACTGCTTCCGGGTTTTCGGGTTTTAGAGCCGTTCGGGCCTTTAGAGCTTAGTGTTTTGGGTTTGGGGTCCAGGGTTTGGGTCGCCTAGGCTGGGGCCCGTGTTGTACCCATTTAGTCATGCCCAGGTGCGACCCGGACCATTCCAATTTCAGCAGCGGCCTCTTCGAGTGGACCCGGTTGAGACTGGTTTGGGGCACCGCCCCCTAGCTGCAGAATCAAAGCTTCGCATCCCTGCTCGGGGTTTAGGGTTTAGGGTTTAGGGGTCAACGTACACCTGCAAAGTCCAAACCCTCCAAGAGTTCAGAGTGCTTGCTATTTCAAACACCCCGAGCCGCAACTTGGACTTCGGTGGGTTGAGGTTTAGGGTTTAGGGTTTAGGGTTTTAGGGTTTCGAGTTCTATCTACCCTAAACCCAGTCCTCTTGAGCCAAGGGCCTGCTTTCCGTGACCGGAATCCTCTTGGCCATCTTGGCGCAAGTTGGCTGCTGCCGTCCTAAGCCGGAGCCTTACATAAAAGGCTGAGGGTTAAGGGCTTAGGGCAGCCTTACTGATTACATAGTTCATGCCAGGATACGGATATCGCATCATAAGACAGTGTAATATGTGTACCATACAATGCAGCACAACAACACATAACATAATCTGACATAGCATTGCGTAGAAAATATGATGTTTATGACATAGTTTCATAGAATAGAACATAATAGCTCAAGATCGTATGACACAAAATAACATACTATGACATATTATAGCATGATATAGTAGAACACAACATAGCACACTATGATAAACAAAAGTGCTAAAATCCTGGGAGTGCGTCGGAATACAGGCTCGCGTTTTCGAGTAAACTAAGAAACCATTTTGTGTTTCTCAATTTGCCCGCAGAGCGACGCTTTGTGAAACCATAATGCAGTAAAGCAGCATAATTCGCAATAATAGCTCATATCCATAACACTATATTAATAAGTTCAAATAATACTATATAAGATGATGTAGAATTATAAAATATTGTGAAACAGGATGTGAAATTCTACAGCGTTATATGTAGACTATTATTGTATAATTCCCCAAACAGCTTTAGCTGAAGGGTTCTTGATTTGTTTAATAGAAAAGG